GCTAACCCCTTTCGAAGTTTTACTCAGGTAGGAACCTGATTATAATCCAATAAAACATGTTCTGAAACGACAACCTAAGTATATTGTTTTATTTTAGTATACACTCAGTGATCTTGGTGATTTAAGCAATCTGATTAGTTCTCAATCTCGGACTATTCAACAATTTTCACCTCCTATCGAGTGTATAATGTGTGAACTCAGTGTTTTTCCCATTTTTTTTAGAGAACGATCTAGGGTTGACTTTTTTTAAGGCAAGAAAAGACTTCGAAGGATTCAAAATATCCTATAGGAAAATTTAATTTGAGCACCTTTATTCATGTACCGCAGAACTTAATGAAAGGTAGCATAGATTTAATTGCACAGTTTTTCTTTCTTTTAATTCATTTTTTTTGTTTGCTTTTTCACCAAATGTCTTGAGAGTGGTTCTTATAGAATCTATTACTTTGTTATAACTGAAGGTATTTTTTACGCATATTTGTTCTTTTTCGTTGAATTGTTGAAGTTGCCTGATGAGTGTGCTCCTAATTTCGGACCATACGAAACAGCACTGTCGCAATAAAAGATGATTACCTCGGAAGCCTGAACTCCTGTGAAGTTATAGGCAATGCTCTTCAATCATATGAATTGAGCACTCTACGAAATACATTCTAAACATAATACAAGTATTTGTCCTTTTTATGTATTTAGGCACTAATAAACGAATAAGAGCGGAGAATGGTATTTCCATACTAAAACATAGTTTGACTATTTCTTTTTCTAAGTATTGTGGTAAATTTGCGAGCAGTATTTTGTCTAGCTAAAACAAGTCAATCGGATACAGATCTTTAACACAATTATTTTAAAATTTTGCTTACGATAGTAATGCCTTTGTGAAGCCCTTCAAAAATTTTTATTTCCCTAAGACAGATTTTAAAACTGTCTTCGGTCAAGTCCTCCACCCACATTGCCATGGCGTCTTGAGGTCTCTCAGGAAATTGGTGACTAGGAGTCGCAAGTACGATTGGACGGGTCAGAAAACTCTTTCAACAAGGAAAAGAAAAAAAGACGAATGAGTTAAACGGGCACTGAAAAAATATAGACAAAGGAAAGTTTGAACTTGTTCATTACGGTGTAAACACCAAAAATTACTAGAAATACTTGTATCGCAGTACTTTGCGAAGCTCGGGGGCAGAGGCCCGTAAAATGTTAGGGATGGGAGGGAGGGAGGGAGAGAAATAGGGTAAATATCGGGCACCGTCACTTACGTCAAAAGGAGCAATCTAGTAAACAGTGCTTCATATGTGAACAACAACTGCAGCAGCACAAGCAACAACAATCTTTCTCATCTATTTACACACAATTCGTAATTATTACATGGAATTCCCCACCCACAAATGGAAAAACCTAATCGAGGAAGGAGGCACTCACATATTGAAGTGAAGAAAGGACACAAATATTTTACAAACAGTTACTAGCTATACCGTAAAATATAATTACTGTGTGTAAAGTTATTGAAATTACAAAACGAATTTGGCAGAAAATACAAGTTATATCTTATATTTTTTATGAACTAATTTTATTGTGGTTTGTGTACCGCGTTTAATGGTTATATTCCATGCATCCATGGATAACTTTTAAGGCGAGCGTGGAAACTGACATACAATCTCAAAGAATGTTTTATTGCTTTAGACTCGTTGCATATATATGTATGCGAGTGTAATTATCATTTACGGATAAAAGAGTGAGAGGGTTCGAGGTGGAGGAGGGTGGGTGATGATATGATTGGGCTAGTGTGAGTCATGAAGTGGACATCTGTCTTAGTTTTAAGACTGCTCATTCCAAAACAAAACAAACAAAATACGTACATATACAGGAAAACGAAAAAGGGAGAGGTGCGCAACGAAAGATTCCGTCTAACTTATCATAGAACAAAGTAAGCTGTTTCATTGTATTGATCGTTGTGAAAACAAAAAAACGGTTCACTCTTAAGACTTTTATCGTCAGTTTCCCGCTAAATCATGAACTCCGTGCATGATACTGTGCATGTACGTAGGTAATTGAACTCTAACTTAAGTGACGTGAATTTTCTGCCTAAATTTATTGATTGAACAGCTGGCTAAGCTTCTTAGGAAGAATCACATTTGCGGTCGTGAGTTACATCTTCCAAAAATACCTTGCCTGACTGACCAATTTCTACTTTTGTTTAGATTAATCCTGCCTGGGCACCTTGTACGCCGAATCATAGCAAAATTGAACGTACCTGAGGAAAGTCGATCTTTTTACATTCTGTTCCGGTAGTCCAAGAGTCCAAGGAAGTGGTTCCTAGTTTTGCTCCTTTGGGAGCAGATTGTAGGGCAATCCAGTTTATCTGAGCTGTTGAATTTGAGCCGTTGCTGTACTCGTAGATACAAGTGCGGAATTGAGTTCTATCTGCCGATTCCACCCAAATAGCAGCACCATTACCACGGGCCTGGTTGTTAACCGAGTGACCAAAGGAAGCAAAGACTATTACTTGCTTTCCACCAGAGAACGGTTCAGCAAATGTGATTGTCTCACAAGCGAATAACCCTGGACTTTTGACAGTGATGTTGGTTTTTCCAGCTTTGAAACTGATTGCTGTTATAAAGAGAAGAAAATTAACTTGGTAAAAGTAAGCTCCCGTTGCTTCTGGGCTATTTACGGTGGTTGCAATATATATTTTTCAATAATTTCAAAACGCCCTGAGCGCAATGGCCTTGAACATAGTTCCGTAACTTGCGCTTTCCTTGTGCGCCCCATTCCCGATTCCTGCGTTCTTTCTCGAAATGAAACTTTCATGAATTTTACCGTAGAAAATGACCATCAAATATCAGCATTTAAAATTACATTCGAAAAGATAATTTGAATAAGCAAAAATACTTCACAGTACCTTGACTTCCTTGAGCAAGAAGTGCAGCAGTACAAATCGCCCACAGGACTAGCGAAAAGTGTTGCTCTCGCAGCATCTCGCTTTAACTGACGAAATGTACCCTTTCATACGAACAATGTAGTACGCATTTTCTTCACGTGAAGGCATCATGAACATTTTTGTTGAGACGTGGAAAGTTCAAGAGCACTGGACCAATGAATTACCTAAAATGGAAGTGATTTACCATGATCCTAAAGTGAAGGTCGCTGAAAGGGGTACCACCCATCATTACAAACCTACGATAAAGGCTCAAGCTTATTCATACTATCAGTTAACAAGGAAGTAAAACTTATGTGCCCGCATCGGACCCCTTTTCTTTCACTACTTAATCCACACGTTTGATAAGCATCTTAACTTCCATTCATTTTAGAATACATTCCAGTGCAAACATGTTGCATTAGGGAAAACCCAATTAAAACCTGAAAACCCTCCAAATGATCTTTATATTTCTTTAGCTTTTTTGCCTTAGCCGAGAGTCCTTCCAGTCTCTCAATCAAATAGTTTGCTGATTTCTCTTAACAATCAGTCTCGTGATATAGTATTATTATTATTATTTATGATGATTAAAAGCCGCTTAAAGTCAGTCGGCTGCTTTACAGTGCCAAATCATGCAATATAAATTTCAATTGGTTGTTCAGACTTCTTCTTCAAAAATAAGCAGCCCAAAAACTGTCAAATTGGAATGCCTTTAAAAATTACCTTCCCTTTTCATAAATTAAAATCAACAAATATTAACGTGATATTAATGAATTTTTAAGAATTTAATTGTGTAAGAGATGCAGTGAATTAAGCTCAGCTACTATGACAGAAAAACTTCAGTTCATATTGTGGTGATCTATGTTATTTTATTTTTTTCCCCTTAGTTTAGATCATAATTCCCTTTTTTTCAATGGTAAAGTTCAGCACCTTGGCGAATCTTTTTAGTGGAGATGCAACTTCTGGTATTTCCGATATGACAACATAAGCTTTATTTAACAGAGCTTTTGAATAAACAAGGAAGTTGTTCAAAAACAGTATGAAGTCGAAGGAAAGCTACCATTCTTACTTCATTATTAGAAAAACAAAAACTAGTAAAGAATTCAAATTTAGCTGCGTAATGTGAAAGTCCATCTCTAGTGAGAGTTTTGCATACTGTTTTCAAGGTTATTCACTTTAGCCACAGGTAAACAAGTGTGCGCATGGGTCATTTTCCCCAGCACCTTTCCGCGTTAGAATTTGCAATTGATATAACGTTTCAGCTTTAAAATAAACTCTCACCTGATCTCATGTATCACAAACAATTTTACAAAACAATGCTCATTTACGGAAAATGGAGGAACCGAGAATATGACGACTTAATGAAAACACCACAGCCAGTTCCAAATTATCAAAATTCACAAATGAAACCGAGGCTGAAGGGAATACAACAAAAGAAGTGAATTATGCGAATTACTAATCCCTGAATATTTATTTTGCGTTTTTTTTTTTTTTCGTTGTATTCCCCTCAGCTTTGCAGCTATGCATGAGCCAATATTAATTACTGAAACTGGCCTATCGCGAAATGTATGAAGCTTGAACAGAATAGTCAGATATATACAGTGTATACACAACTGGCGTGTGTGGTGTATGGATCACCTTATCTTGAAAAATCAGATTAATAGAGTCGTAAAAACGCAAGAAAAAGTTTGGCTATTAGATAAAACGTTGAAGGCGAAATTTTATTATCCGTACAGAAAAACTTCTCAACTCATTATCTTCAGGGGTCGCCGAAGCAAATTTCCCTTTCGTAAACGGTCGTTGCCATTTGAAACGGTCGATGCCATTTCTCAGAACGGTCGTTGCCATTTGAAACGGTCGATGCCATTTCTCAGAACGGTCGTTGCCATTTGAAACGGTCGATGCCATTTCTCATGACGGTCGATGCCATCGTAAAGGTCGATGCCAAGAAGGAACCGATATTTCCGACTCTCTCCGACGACATGCGTGACAATCAGAGCAATGCGTGACTAGCTTTCCTACAAACCATCGCGATTTTTATCAAATCAAAATGGCGGACAAACCCGACAATTTTCTCAAAGATCTAATATCTTCAGCTATAAAAGAAGTCGAATCGAAAAGTAAATCTTTTGAATCGACCGAAATTACAAAGGAGAGTTTTCTGGCTTCGCTTCCAGATGATTCATTTTACTACCTGAAGGCAATTTCAGGAAATGGAGAAAAGTTCAAAGTGCACTTTTTGACCGAAGATATAACGAAAGAAAACCTGGAGCAGTGGATATCCGAATATGAAGTGATAAACAGCATCTCAGTGAAGTTAAAGACAAAGAAGGCACCAACAAGCGGCTATGTGTTGCAAAACTACTATAGATGCCAACACAACACTCGCAACTGGAGTCCAAGTAAAGATCCACAGCAGAAATTGTACTTGAACCCATCTGCCAGAGTAAAGAACACCAATTGCCCCTTTCAGATGATAGTCAAAATAGACAGCGAGGGATGTTGTTCTGTGGACATAGAGTGGGAACACAACCATTCACTTGAAACTCTGGAGGCCTCTAATTTCCGTGACCTTTCTCCTGAGTGCACAGAAAGGGTTTTGAAGTTGTTTGAAAGTGGGCATACACCAGCAACCGCAAGGCAACAGTACTTGAAAGAACTCAAAGAATCATGTCAGGATGAATTGGAATTTCACAGGAAAAAGGCCAATCGGGCAGTTATGCCGAGAAAAAGGGACTTTAGTTACCTCTACACGCAATTTGGTAAGGATAGGTATGGTGGACAGGGCGTTATGATGTTTGAAAGACTTTCCGAAAGGCTTCAACAATACAAGAAAGACAACCCTGAAGCTACTACTTGTTACCAGATGTATGAAGGTGATGATACGCCTCTTATAATTGCTATTGTAACGCCTCTCATGAACCGTGTACACAAGGAAGTGCAGCAGTCTGGTGAGATGGTTTTTGTTGATGCTACTTCTAATACAGAAGAGCACAATCTTAAAGTG